GAGTGACAGACCAGTCACGGAAGGACAAGTACTGCCTGAGTGCGCACACAGGGGTACTTAGAATAGTCAGATTCATGGAGATGAGCCCAGCTGGCGTGGCTCAGTGGTTGAGCATCGACCTGTGAACCAGGAGGTCAAGGTTGGATTCCCGGTCAGGGCACATCCCCAGGTTGCAGGCTCCATACCCATGTGGGGCGTGCAGGAGGCAGCTGACCAATGACTCTCTCTCATCATTGTTCTGTCTCTCCCCCCCTCCCTTTCCCTTCATCTCTGAAATAAACAATATATATATTACAAACACAAATTGTTCAGTTTAAGCTGCCTGGCTGCCAGCTGCCATCTTGGCTGGCAGTTAATTTGCATATCTCCCTGATTAGCCAATGGGAGGGATAGCGGTCGTATGCCAATTACCATGTTTCTCTTTTATTAGATAGGATTATTATAGACTAGAGGCCCAGTGCACAAAATCGTGCACATGTAGGGTCCCTAGGCTTGGCCTGCGATCAGGACCATCTTCTGCCTGCTCGCCAGTCCCCAGTCCCGCTGCCGCCACCCACCCAGTGCCCTGAACAGAGCCTGTGAGCCAGAGGGGAGGGACCGGGAGGTGGTCAATGCACCTCATAGCGACTGGACGAGCAGTCGTTCCGGTCGTTATGGTCTCTGGCCTTTTATTCTATAGGATGGAGATAGAGGAAGAGAGTTCAGAACTTCTACATGCAAACATGGAAACATCTCCAGTAGGATCACTCCACAGCACGCTGTATGAAGTAAAAACAGCAAAGCATAGCACAGGGGGCACAGGGTGCTACCTCTGTAAGGAAAGAGCGGCCACGTGAACACATGTCTGTATCTGCATGAAGGACCGCCGGGACCAGGAGAAGCTAAGGGAGGGGCTACCAGGAGGGGCAGCCGTCGGGGAGGCTCTCTGAGTATACCTGCACGATGCTTCGAGGTTTCACCTGGATGAATAAATTACTTCGCCAGGTTTCTAACGCATTGTCCCTGGAGAGGGACTGGGAAGGGGATGGGGCAGCGGAGGCGAGTGAGGATGGGATGGGGCACTGCCTCCATCTGATCCTGGAGCTCATCTTTGTGTTACCTTTTTTAAATTTGTTTTTATTGATTTCACCAGCTCCCTGCTGGGGACCGAGCTGGCAACCCGGGCATGTGCCTTGGCTGGGAATCGAACCTGTGACCTCCTGGATCATAGGTCGACGCTCAACCAACAAGCCGGTTGGACTGTATTACTTTTATAAAAAGAAAAAACTTAAGAACAAATTTTTAAGTGGCAAATCCACGTATGAAAAGATGCTGAATCTCACTAGTAGTCAGAGGAACACAAATTAAGCCCCAGTGACACCCACACCCAGCCGGGCACCACCAAGGGAGCAAGGCCGGGGTGGAGCGAGGGCGCACCCACAGGCCCTGGGGTGAGGGGGTGTGCGCAGGCGAGGGGGTGAACGGACACAGCCCAGGAGGGCAGCAGGGCCTTTCCTCCGCACAGGACCCCTCCTGGGGACGCCCAGAGACCCTGGCTCCTGAGCCCAAGGCCATGTGCGCCAGCACTCGCTGGCCGCAGCGGCTGGCAGTGCCACACCTGGGATGAGCTAAGTGGCGTCGACAGGAGACGGTAAGTGGCTGGCAGTGGCTCTCCGGAGGAGCATGATTACACAGCAATTAAACAGATGAGCTCGAGCCACAGGCGTCATCACGGATAAATCTCAGAAACAGTGCAGGCGGAGAGAGCAGGCGTGCGGGGAAGCGACCTTTAAAGACGGGTACTAGTTAGGACGCAATCCCTGCATCATTCCTGGGTACAGCTAGGTGTCCGCAGCAGGACGCAGGCCCGAATGACGCACGCCAGTTTCTATTTGCCCAAGGGGGGGGGGAGCGGCCGGGAGGA